CCTGAGTGGCCAGGCCCCCGCCTCTCCGGCTGGGCCCCTGGCCCAGTGTGGGGACACAGGCCAGCTGTCCCGAGCCTCAGCCCCCACCCCAGCCCTCCAGACACCCCCAACACCCCTAGGCCTGCCTGAGACAGGCCCTGCCCCAAGCCGGAGGTGTGGGGGGGTAGGCAGGTCTGGGCCTGGCTAGGTCTGCAGAGGTTGAGGGGCTGTAGGTGGAATAGCCTGGGAGGCAAGAATGGGGTGGTGCTGCCCAGTGGGGCATGCAGGGGACCGACTGGGGACCTGACACGCTGTCGAGCTCCCTTCTGAATGGGACAGGGCTTGGCCTTCTCTCAAACTGGAGCAAGGGTGACTGGGGGCTGACTGCGGCTAGGTGCTGCGGTCAGGGGCATGGCTCAGGAGTGAAGGCCACACCCATGTTGTCCCCTGGGGCATCTGGGCCACGAGGGGGACCCTGAAATCTGAGCTTCCATTCTGCGTGGACAAGGGTCACAGCCCCACACCCAGCCCTGTCCAGGTCAGCGTCTGGCAAAGGTCCAGCTGGACTCCAGGTGCCCTGTGGGAAACAGAGAGGTGACAGCCCAGACTCTTTGTCATCACTCAGTCACCACCTGTCCCAACACTGAGCACCATGAAGGTCGGTCAGACCCCGGAGCCCCAGACAACTGGTTCTCTCTGCTCCTGTGGGAGCGCCCAGGACTGCCATTCCTCTCCTGGCCAGCAGGGGGCGGCAACTCTCAGACAGCGGGGACAGCACCCGCAGAACTCAGCCCTCCCGCCCGCCCCAGAGCAGGACATGGACCCTGGGGTGGGAGGTGGTGTGGGGTGGGTCAGGGGAGGGTCGCGTCCCTCCCAGTCCCTGTTTGTGGGAAAGAAATGCGGCACCAGAAGACAGGAGAGGAAACTTGTTCCTTGCCCTAGGTCACAGCCAGTCAGCAGACAGAGTCAAGGCCAAGTATCTTGGGTGCTTCTGCAGCGCCCCAGGGTGGCTTAGTGCCTTGTCCAGCCAGCAGCAGGTGGCTGGGAGCGGAGGGGCAAAGGTAGGCTGTGGAATGAGCTGGACCTAGGACTAAGCAATTTCTAGTAGGGCAGCTTCTCCCCGTCTGGCAAGTGCTCATGAGCACCCTTTCTGGGAAGATGATTACAGGGACAAATAAAATGTAGCATCTGTTTCTGCACCATGCCAGGCAGATAAAAAGTGCTCTGTCCTGGCTGAGTGTGGTGGCACACGCCTGTCATCCCAGGACTCTGGGAGGCTGAGATGGTAAGATCACAAGTTCAATCCCAGCCCGGGGAGCTTAGCGACTTAGGGAGACCCGGTCTTAAAATAAAATTTAAAAAGGCTGGTGCTATAGCTCAGTGTGATGGTCCTGGATTCAATCCTCAGTTCTGAAAAAAACCAAAAGAGAAAAAGCTCTGTACTCCTCTGGTGCAGGTGCTGGTACTGACACTACTGTTGCCAACACTGGTTCTGCAAACCATTCTGTTTCCAGGTCCCACGCTCCCTGGCCACCCTGAGACCCTTGACAATGTCTCCTTTTCCTGTCATGGCAGCTCCAGAATTTGGGAGGTGGGGCCAAGCTTGAGGAATTCACTTCCATCATACAACTGTTGTGCAGTGTGTTCGTTTGGGGTGCACTGGGGTTGCTGAGGGAGATTATGAGGGCGCAAAGCACCCTGAACTAGCCGTGCTGGTGGGGTAGGTGCTGCCTGAGGCAAGGCCCAGGCTCTGGTCCTGGGCAGTGGCTGTGGGAGCCAGGAAGACCAGGTGTATGTGCCCTGCTCCCTTCCCGGGAAGAGGAGGAAGGGGATGCTGGTGGGGAGCTGGGCCCCACGCCTCTTGGGGCAGTGACGTGGGCACGAACCGACATTCAGACTTGCAAACCACAGTCTGTGCAGTCTTTATTAATTCCAGGACAGGGAAGCAGCCAGAACCAGCAGGAGAGAGCCTGCCGAGGGACCAGGAGAGGCGCAGGGATGCACTTGTGGGACAGATGTGAGGCTGGGCTGCACCGGGTCCTGCCCCCAGCTCCCGGTCCCCTGCCGTAGGAGGCCTGTTCCCAGAGCTCCACTAATGCAGATTCATCAGGGCCTCTGTACATCTCCAAAGGGCCTCAATTTAGAGCAAACGCATGGAACTGACCACCTGGCAAGTTAGCCCAGTGCCTGCAGCATGCGGTGGGGACAGACATCATGGTTGCTGGCCATTGTCCACTCACCCTGCATGCAGGAAGCCCACAAGAGCAAGGTGTGGTGGTGCATGCCAGTCAGCCTACCAGAGTGCTGGTGGCACAGCTTCCTACATTGTGGATCCCAGAAAGGCTGAGAGTTGTGTGGAATGCTGTCCTCTCAGCACTCTGGGAGGCTGAGGCAGGAGGATTGCAAATTTGAAGCCTGCCTGAGCCACTTAGCAACTTAGTGAGACCTTGTCTCAAAATTTTAACAAATTAAAAAAAGGATGGAGATGTAGCTCAGTGTGAAGGCCTTGGGTTCAAGAAAGAAGGAAGGAAAGAAAGAAAGAAAGAAAGAAAGAAAGAAAGAAAGCAAGCAAGCCTCTGTATTCATTCAGATAAATTCCAGGCTTCAAGCAGGGCTGTCCAGGCTGCACTTAGCCCAGCCCCCTGTGCTCTGCAGCCATCCTTCCCCCTGACCAGCCCCCTTCCGGTCCCCGGGCTGGTTCTGGATGTCTGGGCGCTGGACTTTGTGGCCAAGGTTCCCTGATCTCAGTGTCCACCACAGGTCGGCCCCACCCTCACCCCGTCCCCTGGGTCTCTGTGGGTCCTGCTGACTGTGGGCCCCTCCGGTCACCCTCCTGGTGTGAGGTGGACCCGTTCTGTCTCCCCACATCCGAGTGTGGGGTTGGCATGGATGAGCCTTCCAGGAGATGGAGACAGAGACTGCTGGTGTGGACAGACCCCAGCCAGACACGTGGGGCATGGCTTCTGCTCTCCTCCTTATCTGCCTAGTCAGGTCCCATCAGTGAACGCGGGATAAGCTGTGGAACCCTGGGGCCGCGAGAGGGCCGGACAGGCTGCGGGGCTGAGACCCCACTGAGTTTCACCCGGGCCCTGGAAGATGCTGTTGGCCGTGGTTCCCACCTCGGCATCAGCAAGAGAACCCACGGAAGGAGATAGGCAGCACAGGACACCACGAGGCACGGATCTGTCCTGTGGACCAAGTGAGGCCTGGGGCAGAAGTGGCTGCTGGTTGGGGTGGAGCCCTTGGGACAGCATCCACAGCCGGGCGGGGTGACGGACCCCACGACTTCCACTCGCTTGCCAGACCCAGCTGCGGACTCCCTGCCAGTGCTTCCTCCTTCCCCTGATTTCAGACTTTCTAGCAGCTACACACAGGAAACAATCAGTTTAATAGTATGTGATATTGGATGCAGTATACCTAAAATACTATTATTATTTCAATATAAAAAGCATTGTAATATTTTACATTGTTTTTTGTCTTGAATCTTAAAACTGGCATGTATTTTACCCTTTTTTGTGGGGTAGTAGAGATTGAACTCAGGGCCTTTGCACAGAGCTACATCCCCAAGCCTCTTTATTTACTTATTTTTATTTTGAGATAGGGTCTCACTAAGTCACTAAGCTTCGCAGGCTGAGCTCCACCTTGCAATGCTCCTGCCTCAGCCTCCCAGAGTGCTGGGATGACAGGCGTGTGCCTGCTTAAAGCTGGACCGCTCATGTGCGTGAGAGTGTGGCATGCAGCAAATGCTCAAGCACGATGGAGGCTGGGGGGGCACCCGACGAGGGTTCCCCAACACTGGCCCCCACACAGTCTGGGGGGCCTGGCCCTGAGCCCCGGGTGTTTGTGTGTATGAGTCACTGTCAGGGTGGGGGTGCAGTGTCCGGATGGGCGGGCTGTTCCCACATCGCCTCTCGGGCTGTCTGCTGCCCTGTCCGGGAACATAGTGAACCAGCCACTCACTCACACCCTCTCACCAGGGCTCGGACAGTGGGCTCTGCGACACACCTCTGTCTGCCCGACACTTGACAGTTTACAAAGCACATCTCCAGTTCTGAGTGGGGATCTCGTCCTCGTTGGTAGCCAGGAGGGTCAGGCCTGCCAGGAGGCAG